ATTTACTATCTGGGAGTTCCTATAGACATTTGGCAAGTCTGTGGCTTAATTATGCCATCATCATCATATTTAATTATCATTCGAATCATCCTATCGCTACTTGACTTCAAAGTTGGTTTTACGGTTTGTACAAGTCTCCTGACGTTTCTTGATGGCGGAAACCCTGCAGGTTGCTTTTGATCTTGTAAGGCATTACTAACTCTAATGGCATCAGCTTGATATGCTTTTAAGAAGGTATTACTTCTAGGAATGGGTTCAGGTGAAGCTATATAACGTGCATGTTGTGGTAACTGAAGAGGTGTAGGAGAGACGAGGCTATCACGTAAGCATTTATATGATTCAGACGATTCAGAAGCAACATCTAATTTAATACCGGCACTGCTGCCACAGCCTTTACAAGCTTTACCCCAAGCACCGTCTATTGAATTAATGGTACCTATGAAAGAAGTACAGGAAAAGTGCGTAGGATAAAATGTTAATGAAGCATGCTGGGATATGAAGTTTAGCAATATCTAGAGTGGAGATTTAATTACAATAAGTTCATGTTACACACAAGGAATAGAAAACAGTGTTCACATTAAGCTTTAGGTATACTGCAATTCGTTCAATTTTTGTTAATTGATAATTTTATCATGGGATTATCCAATTCCATCAAAGTCACTGTCACCCACTACCTCAAAGACTGAAGTTACAACAGCAACAAGTAATCTGACACCCTATCGTGAAGGATTTACACGCGTGTTGACATGAGACACCCCTTTAGTCCAGGGGTTTAAGTGTTTTTAAAATATTTACAGTATATTTAAAGATCAACATGTATATTCTGATTGTAGACAATAAATTTTGATATTGCATATGCTGGGAAAGGTGAAGGTTAAATGTAGTATTAAAAGTGGGTTCTGTAAATGCTTAGCACGATGGCATAATGGTATGATAAGTTGTACAAAGGAAGGTTATCAGATTAAACTAGGGGTGAAGACTTCATACAACAGTAATCACAACTCAATCATGTTTAAAAAAAAAAAAAAAGCAATGAACAAGCAATGAAATGTTAGTATGGTAGCAATCTCACAGGGAAGCACACTAATCCTGTTCAGCATCGAAAAGTTAAAAAACCATCAGCTTTGACAATTTATGTAATACAGAGCCACTATAATAGTTGTGGTAGCATATGAGTTAACATTTGATAATAAGCCAAGTTACATAGCTCTATGGACCACTTTCCCAGAAGTTGAAGATACAGTGTTTTGCATGCGCATGCATGGAGGTAATGTAAACTTTAACGCATGATATTGTCATTTGTGGGTGTACCAATGGATGTGACAATAGTGAATTAACTGAATATCAACAGCCTGGCATGTTTGTATCGCACTATGAAATCGGCGGGTGTTATGCTTGCATACCAGTCTTACTACTCCCGGGAAAGTGGTCTATACCTAGGCAAACAGTGCTGTCTTGGTGATTTTTACTATGTAAACAGCGCCATCAGCGGCCTGTACATGGTACTCCATGTGTATTTATTTGGTACCAGAATGATCACATGTTGGTTCAGTGTTACATCATAACATAAATTCAAAATTAATGATAAAAAAAAATACAGCTGATGCCCCTTTAAGCAGAACATGTACATGTATGTTAATATCAGCCACTTGTTGATTTTCAGTTCATCATATTCTATAGCTATCAATTTTATAGAAAATACATCATTTAGGTAATATAAACTTAAAAAGTTTACATGGCAGCTTTTGGTCAGGTATACAAGTTATATAAATGCAGAAACTACAAGACATCATCTGAAGACAGGCACAAAGCCATAATACAATGATACACGTAAGGCTTGCATCTGTGAGAGTTTGGCTTCATGTGCAATATTGCGTTGTGGAGAGTTTTGAATTACGACTGTCAATCACCATACATACATACATACATTTCCTGAACCAATCTCTAACATAATTTTATGTAATAAGCAGGCTGAAATCAACATATCACAATATTAATGTGTGTAGTAAACTACAAATCAGAAAAGCACAATGAAATCAGTTAGTGTTTATGAGTATATAAATCCAATATGGAATAAGGATTAGTACCAGTAATAGTAATTACATCACTAGTATCAGGTGCCATCTTGGAAAGTTCTGTAATTTCATATGCTATCATCTGCATCTGTTCTTTCAACTTTTTGTGTCTCAATCGATGCTAAAGACAAAACAATGTGAGCAATGTTTTATAATAGATGCATAGTGCTGGAATGAATGGTGTTTTTTTATTTAGTAAAAAACAACGCAACAAAATCTATGATTAATGTCAACAAGCGATGCTACGGATAACTTCAACGACTTAAAAAGAAAAACAACAAAAAAATAAAATGAACATAAAAAGCCTGGAACTATTTTAATAAACTAGTATTAGTCTTGTTAAGATTGAAAAACAATAACTGTTTTCATTCACCAGAAACTAAGAAAAACAGAAATATTTTATTAGTTGTTAGAGAAAAAAAAAAAAAAAAAACAGAACAAGAAAACACACAAATTTCATTCAGAATGTTACCTGTGCCAACTTTATGGTACCTAGAGTGTGATTGGCAAGTAATGAAAACGAAAAAAAATGCAATTATTCATTCATACGTACTCTAGAAAGAACTAGTAAATAAATGACTGGATGTTGCCACTGAGGGCGCTATCAAGCATGCTCTAAAACATTGAGTTGTGATTGCTGGTTGTAAGAAGTCTCTGTTTCCTTCATTTTATAGAATAAATCAAAGACAATTATATGGCTGTAACATATAAGAAATTTCTAAGCTGACGAACATTTAGAAAAGTTGGAAACTATGTACTCAAGTTTTGTAACTAGCAGTGAGACATACTGGTATAAATCATCTGCAGTCAGTAAATTGTGTTTTCAGTATAGTACAGAAAATATGAATATTATAAATTGTTTAAAAAGTAATAATAATATTACATGAATTATTGGTTATCTATTGCACATTTTTGCATCAAATTTGATAAAATATTGTGATATGTATTCAGTACCCTTCATAGGGTAACTGTCAACAGCCAAGTGCACTAGCACCTCAGTGACTTGATTTGATTATTAAAATAAGGTCACTCATAGGAAATAAAAGTTCCACATGGTTCAGGTTAATAAAGTATGAATAAATTCTGGATTTTTTTTACACATATTTACACGGTGATTGAAATATTGACATTGAAATAATTGATACCCATAGCACTGTATGAAATAACAAGTGACTAAAAATTATAATGACTGGCCACATGCCAAAACAAAGAATTGTGTATTAGAGTTTAGAAGTCCTGGAGCTCTGATTTGTTTTTTTGATAGATAGTTAGATTGTGTAGACACAGAAGTATATGCAGGCACTGGTTAAATGAGAAAAGTGTATCATGTGGATGTATATATCATTAACATTGACATGTGCTATGGGGGGGAGGGGATTCACAGCAATGGTCCTAGCTATAGGAATTGACAATCACTAAACTGTAGAATACATAGACAACCCACTGGGTCCTTGAGCTACAATAACATCACGGCTTTCTACATCTGGATGTTGGAATTTCAATTTCAAAGGGGGAGGTATTTTTGCAGCTTTCATGGGTTTGAAATTCTTGTGTATAGCATGTTGTGGTCTGCTTGTTTGAGAATACCTAATTCGAAAACTACCCAACCCACTTGGACTGCTCTTTATGTCCTTATTAGCATCCAAGTAAGGGGCAAATTTCTCTTTCTGTTTTGTGGAAAGACCAAATTCACTTAGGGTCTTTAATTGGTAAGTCTTTCTGACAGCTATTTCATCTTTGCCCGTACCTGAGAGTTTCTTTTTCACCTCTTCCGCTTGAATCGCTGTCGTTTGGTTATCATTCTGACTGCTCTGACTCACAGATTTGTCTGGTATCTTCTTTAGAGGAGATTTCAGAGTCAATGACAGTGAAGTTGTTGATAGCGAAGTTGCTGTTCGTTGCTTTTGGTACAGTTTTATTGTATGGTGACAGTTCAGGAATTCTCGGACTGATTACAGTTGATATACTTTTCTGTTTGCATACAAATCCTGGTTTACGAATAGGTTGTCCTTCCACATGCAAGTTGATTCCAATGTACGGAGGTACTATAACTTGTTGCTATTTGGTAAGAAGAAATAATTTATTGGTTATCAACATATCAATATAAACAGTATATAGATAGATAGGTAAATGTTTATTCCAAAAAAAAAATAAGTCTTAACGACACACAAAATATATATAAACAAAAATATACAAATGGAATGGGGGTCAAAAATAGTTGCAATTAGCAACTAATTGAGTCCAGCCCCTGAAGGCATCTAAAATAGAAGAACATACATGAGCATAAAAATGTGAAAAAATAATTGTATAGCATGTGCATTTCATTATTACTTAGATACCAATATATTTTGGTGTAGAAAATATTTCTAGTCTTTTAATAAACTCTCTGGCCAAATTCCCAAACATGGCTGGTAATTTAATAAACTTGGTGTACTCCCTCGGCAAATGCCCAAACATGGTAGATAATCTTCATAATTATTTAGTTTAATACAATAATTAAGATACCAATAACCTCTTTTTTTAAAGTTTAAGAACATTACTTTGTGTATGTGTATTTTGTGTATAGTATGATAAAACTGCCATATTTAAAAGGCCTGGACAGAGCAGATCAATAACATCTTTAACACATTATTGAATTATATTTGCTAGTCATGATACAATGTGCATTTGCTTTTTTAAAGGGTAACCTGCCAAACCCAGAAATTGCACCAAGGAATCATGAAACACTATTCTTTATGTTGTTTACAATGTTAATCTATCCACAAAACAAATTTGTTGAGAGATTAGGCTTAAATGGAGATGTCCCTTTAAACACATATTGCACATATCAATACTTGCCTGTTTGTGTATGAGTTCAAAATGTCCTGTGTCACAGTTCTTATCAAATTTCCTGTCTAAAACAACTTTCATTGTATCTTCTATCACATCATAGCACATTTTCTCTGTGATGGTAGAACTAGCTGACATAGCTGGACTGGAATTAATCTCAATCAACCATGGTTTGAGGTCATCCGTTACCATGAAATCAGCACCATATAATTCAAAGGAATTCTGATACAAAAAAAGTCAAGACACAGAACACAGTCAGTACTTTTTATATCAATAAAATATTGCAAAAGCAGACATTTGGTGAAATATTATATTACCATATTTGCTCTATTTGAAGTGCAAATGCTTGTGCAATGCTTGGTGGCATACAATGAGTCCTGATTTCAAAAGAAAGCAAGTCTTATAGATATTCATAATTGACTTCACAGTGTTCTATTTTTAATATCAGAAGCTTGATTTAATAAACCAAAAATGAAATATCATATTATCTTTATAGTGTTAATAAAGTTTATTCTATATTCTATTCTATTCTATATGCTATTATATATATTCTATTCTATTCTATTCTATTCTATTCTATTCTATTCTATATGCTATTATATATTCTATTCTATTCTATATGCTATTATCTATTCTATTCTATTCTATTCTATTCTATTCTATTCTATTCTATTCTATTCTATTCTATTCTATTCTATTCTATTCTATTCTATTCTATTCTATTCTATTCTAAATGTACTGATATGTGATTTGGTGCCATATATGTGTGGTGGTTACACAGTTGTGCATGCATTAATTACACTGGTACAATAATATTGCAGTATAAGCAGTCTTATTTCAGTCCTGATGATGACAGAGTAAGCTTGTCAGATTACAAATACATGCATGCTCTAAAAGAGCACCTATAATATCACATGTCTTACCTTTCTAGGATCAATAATATCTTGTGTACACTGCAAGGCACTGATAATTGCATTTTTCATTCCTGGGTATATAACTTCTTGAAAGACATCGCCATGTCCTCTTTTCTGCAGCCATGTTGAGAACTGTTCACTGCTCCACATGTTATCATCTGGTAAGTGATGTGATCTCTCCTCGTTGTCATAATACTTCTGGATGGAATTATTTGCTAAGTGAATCTTTCTGCAGGAAATATTAAAAGAATAATATTTTTTTTTACAAAATAAAAAATATTATAATAGTTTCTTCAGATACTAATTTATAAATGTTCAATACAGCAATAACATTTTACAGTCCCAACATTAGAGACTAGTAAAGCATTAGATGAGATACAACCTTTATATATTGACTCTGAAGTGAAAGTTAATTCTTCATGTACTGTACTGCAGTGCCAAAGACTCTAATGACATTTATTCAAATATGTGGTCAGGTGATGTCTTACAAGTCTGTATAAATTTTAGGTCAAACGATTTCAAAAAGACTGTAACAATTTGAATATACTATAAGAGGAAATGTCATTTTTTTCAGGAAATTTTGTTCATACAAGGCATCGTAAAGGGGTGACATTTAGAAACTCTGGGGGCGA